GTTGCGGGGTTTGGTTGTCGGCTGTGCGCTGCGTGTGAAGGAGTTACTGGAGGGTGCGCGGCAAGTCAGGTTCACAAGGCACACAGCAGGTTTGAACGCCCACCAGCATCGAGGGCCATGTTCAGGCGCCGCAGCCAGGTGATCTGAGCGCCAAAAGCAGCATCCCGCCGAGCCCGCAACAGCACGTTGTACAGAGAGCCTGGTCACGTAAGGTTTGGTGACAGGAGGGGCGAAGCGAATGCAAGGTCATACAGGTTCAGATGCAGACCTGCGTCTTGCGCCATCGCGGGTGCTTGCACGAACAATTTCTTTGAGCCAGGCACGCGCCCGCAGAGGCGGCCGTGCCACCGCCAGCACTCCAGGGACACTTAGGGCCCTGCCCTGAAGGCCACCCGGACGTATGAAAGTCGGTGGCCCTGCCCGCTCTCCTTGCGTGCTCCAGCCCTGGCGGCGCCGTCCTCAACAAAAACCCCGTCACTGGCTGGGATCGACACAGGTACCTTAAGCAACCCCCAGCAACGGCTGCCCTCACCCCTGGCGCAGTACTCTGTGACGATGCAGGGGGGCGCCAGGGTGACGCCCATGAACAGCACGACGTGCGGGTGACGCATCCGCGCCAGGATGTTCACCTGCGCGGCCGGACCAGCGCGGGCGGCAGGGGGACGGGCAGAGGTATCAAATCCGATGCGGCGCTGCAAAAAACGCTCGGCAGGAAGGCTGCTGCGCTCACCACGCCGCATGAAATGCCCGCTCACATGCGGCGGGCACGCGTGGACGCGCATACATGCACGCACATACAGGTGCACGCGCATGTGCGCAAGAATTCGTGTCCACACACGCGCACCTCTTTTGACAGGTCTGACAGCATGCGCTTGTTCCAGGTGTTAAGCGATGTTTCGGCGCCCCCCTGCACGCCGACAGGCTTCAAGTTCTGGGGGCAGGGATGAGCGTGTGGAGCAAGGGGGTGCTGCGTCTTTCAGCTTGGCAGTGCTCTAAAAGCGCAGCCCAAGAATTTGGGCTGAGCCAGGGTCAGGATTTGTGCGGACACATGGAGGGACACGCCTGAGCACAGCAAATCGGGGCTTTGCTGAGCTCCTGTCTAGGGCCGGAGGGGGCTCCCTCAGCGGTGCACCATTTTGCGCCGCGGTGTCCATGAGGGGGTGAGTGGGTCAACGAAAGGGCGACGTTGAGAGCAGGGGTAGCAGCCAACACCAACCTTGATTGCCACCTCTGTGCCATTCCAATGGCCGTAGTACACCTGGCCAAAGCTGCGGAAAAAAGAGAGAGCAGGAGGGCGCCGCAACGGTTTGCTGGCTGACTGCTAGCGCGAGAGTGACGCAACCCGACAAAGCAATCGTTCTGGCATGCTGTTGCGACCAGACGCCGTGCATGGCGTGCGGAGTGAGGGACCAATCCCTGATCGCCATCCCGACATCGGATCGCTCCCGCACACTCTGCCCAGACTATCCGCCACATCCCTAACCGTCCAGCCGCCAAGCCCTTGCCCACCTGCCCTCCCCGACCATCTTGCCCAGATCAAGATCCTCAAATTCTATGACCCAATGGGAGCTGAACAGCTCTGTGGACTGCTCCTCTTTGATAAACCGCTGCCGCTGGTCCTTCTGCTGCTGCTGCTGCTGCTGCTGCTGCTGCTGCTGCCGCTGCTGCCCTGGCTCCTCCAGCAATGGCGGCAGCTGCGGGTGCGCCGCCAGCGCCAACGGCAGCGGCTGCGACTGCGGAGGCACCGGCTGCTGCGTGTGCAACTTGGCCTGTCTGCCACCCGAGGCCGCCAGCCGCTGCGCGCTGCGGCTCTGCGCGGGCGCCGCCGCGTCCAGGGCCCCCGCCGCGGCCGCAGCGCGCTCCCGCCGCCGCGCCTCAACCACCGTCGGCGCCGTCGGCGACGACGCGGCCGCGGCCTCGTCGCACGCACGCCTGCACTCGGCCACATCCTCTCCATCGGACCCGCTGCAGCTGCCCCCGTAGCCATCGCTTCCGTCATCAGACACCACCGCTTCCTCCGCCATCGACGCCAGTGCCCGCCCGTCCTCCAGCCCGAGGCTCTTCCCGTTCCAGAGCAGCTGGCTGGCAGCTTCCATCTGCCGCCGCACGTCCTCGAATTTTGCGCTAATGATCCCCCTCTTGAACGTCGAGTGCATGAGCGCCTCGAACTTCCCCGGGTGCCCATAGTGCGCCACCAGCCCGAGCGCGCACGCGACGGCGTCCTGCGCCGCCGTCCCCGCCTGCAGCAGCCGCGCGCGCGTCTGCCACGCGGCGTCGCCCTGCCGCGCGTGCGCGGCGCGGAGTGCGAGGGCGGCGGCCTGGCTGGGGCCGACCAAGCGGTGGCAGAGCTGCTTGAACGCGGTGGCGGTGTTGGCTAGTGCCTTGAGATCTGCTGCATTGGCACAGATGCTGTCCACTAAAAGGGCCCTGCAGCTGACCACCTTGGACATGCAGGCGCCGCCCGCCCGCGCGGCGCCGGGCTCGGCGCGCGGCCGTCGCGCTGCTGCGCGGGGCTGCTGCGGCTGATGCTGCTGCGGCTGCCGGCCGTCGCGCTGCCGCGCGGCGCGCAGCGCGGCGGCGGCGACGGCGGCGGCGGTGGCCCGGCTGCTGCTGAAGCTGCTGTCGTCACTGGTCAGCTGTGGCTCGTCGTCGGGCGGCAAATCGTCGCTGGAGCCGTCCCCGCCGCCGCCTTTGGCCGCTTTTTGGAAGCGCACCTTGAGGGAGGACCGCAGCGGCCGCAGCCACCGCTGGTGACGGGGCCGCAGCGGGAGGAAAGCTGCGCGGTGGGCCCCGCCGGACGACGACGAGGGCGGGCCCTGCCGGGCGGGCTGCGGCGACGGCTGCACCGCGTCCGCCGGTGGCGCAGCGGCGTGGGTCTCTGGGGGCGGCTCGGCGGCTGCATGAAACGGCGAATCCGCAACGCCTGTGCCGGCCTGCCACCCCCCTGTTTCGAGCGGGCCACAGCCAGCTGAGTCAGGCGGCCTCATCGCTGCCGGCTCCGCCTCGCAGTGCCAGATGGCCCGCTGTTACTTGATCCGGGCGTGGCTAGTCAGGCTGACAAAAAGGGCAATTCTGCGAGATGCGTGTAGGCAGCCAGGTGTGGCCTGGCGGCGCGGCGGGTGTCGCGGCGTTGCGAGGGGTGCTCGGGGATGGGCACAGCGCGCGCTCAAGTTGAGCTATTTTATATCACCCTTTGAAAACCTCGTTCTGTGCCATGCGAACCCGCAGCATCGGCTTGCTCCGTGCAAGTCCAGGCCACTTGATCACCCTGCGCAGGCTTGCGGACCTTCGAGATCTTATCGATCACCTCCTGGCTGTTTATGTGGTGTACGCTGGTTTCACGGGAGTCTTGGGCAGTCGGCCACTACGCACCGCTCGTTTCCTGCAGTGTCGGGTTCGCTTCACATTTGCTAGGATTCGTTGTGTGACCAGGCTTGGCGGAACAGCTTCTTCAACCTGAGCCACGCGCAGAGCACTGCGCCGCCCCAGTCGCCACACTCGAGAGCAGGTGTCCTAAGTGGGGAAGTGACGCCCACTAACGCTTGGAAGCAGCTCCGTGTACGGGGAGTGCTGCATGAGCGGAGAACATTTGCATGGCCTAAACTTGCATGCTCAGCTCATGGTCTGAAGAGCCCGCCACAGCAACTTGCTGGTCAGCCCGTAAGTAAGGGAGCTCGGCCTGAAGCTCCAGCAGCACAACCTCTGGCTGAGTGATCCCTTTTGGTCTGCCTGGTGGCAGGCTTCGCCTTTTGTTGTTGCTGCTGCTGCTGGAGCTGCTGCTGCTGCTGCTGCTGCTGCTGCTGCTGCTGGAGCTGCTGCTGCTGCTGCTGCTGCTTCTGCTGCTGCTGCTGCTGCTGCTGCTGGAGGCGGCGGTGGTCCAGGTGATGCAGTGCAACTCGGCTTTTTGTGCCGGTGCGCTAGGGCATTGTTGATTGGATTTCAGCTCAACAAGATGTAGACCTCGCAGATCAGCAACACCAGCTGGCCACAAGGCCTGCTGAGGTCGTGAGGGAGTGTTGCCTCTGGCAGTCAATCAATGTGGCAACTGCGCGGTGTACTGTCCCCAGGCAGGCCATATGTGATCCCGGTTCACTGAACGCACGCTTGACTGCTATCCTTCGCTGCCTGGATGCTTCTGTTCGCATCAATGATGGGCGTCGCAGCCAGGGGACCCATGGTCGCAGCAGGGGACCCATGGGTTGACTCAATGACGGCTGCTTGCATCGAATGCGCTTGTACATTCTGGAAGCCAAGCGCACTTTAGCTGAGTGGCTTTCAAAAGACTGGTCAATTTATTTTCCTTTGCGTACATTGCGTACCTGCACACTGATGAGCCAGTGTCACAGTGACCAGATCAACACAGCACGGCACCCAAATAAAATCTTGTGTTAGAAAATCAACGAGCTGACTAGCACGACAGAATTGAACTGTGCAACTTTGCAATCGGTGGGCCGCGAGTTGCAATTGCGCTTCGCGGCTTGAAATTTCGCTGAGCCCGTCGGTGGATACATCTGATTGAGACGGCAAAACTTTGTGACGGGACATCGAACCACGCCACCATCTAGCCGCATGCTCAACCTATGAGCAAACGCCGTTTGCCCTGCCCCGCCGCGCTGGCACACACCAGGCGCACGCATGGCCACGCCCCGCTGCCTGGCCCCTCTCATCGCCTCAGGATGCAGCACTCCCCCTGCCCAAGGAAAACTTTCCACTGAACGCGGCACTCTCCTCTGTCAGCAGGTCAAGTTCAAATCGGCGCTGGGAGGCAGCTGCGCACAAATCATCGCTGGCGGGCCTGGCCTGCGTTGCTGTTTGCTACCGATGACAATTCGCACACGCCGCCAGGCCCAGAAAGACGGCTTGGCCACGCCAGCGACTCCTGCCAAGGCTGCGCCCCCCAATGAGCCGCTGACCAGCCCTCGGGGCGCGGCGGCGCAGCGGCAGCAGCAGCGAGCGTCGGACCGGGAGCCGCTGCAAGAGCAGCAGCTACTGCGCCACCCACTGGAAGTCGAGGGGACCCCGCTCTCCCAGCTGCAGCAGGAGCAGTTTCGTAGGCGCAGCTCGCGGCGGCAGTCTCAGGCAGCTGCCAAGTCCATGCCCGACGGCCCCACCTCCCCGGCCGCCGCCACCGCCGCCGCCGCGGCCGCCGCCGCCGCCGCCCTTGCCGCGGCCGCCGCCGTGGCC